GTCATCCACAAAATCACGCCAGGACCTACTGCGAGGTTCCGCCCTGCGCCCGTCATCTGCTTTTGCGGAATTTTGATATTTTTTTTAAAATTTTGCATTTTTGGGACCGTTGCGTGAACCCGCCACGTTGGAAGCTCCGCCACTCCGGAGAAACCGCCCACTTATTATATATATATTTGATACTAATATAATATTATATATATATATATATATATAATATATATTATATATTATAGATATTATATATATATATATATATATATTTATACTATATTATATATGTATAGCGTGATTGCACCGTGACGGAAAGGGATAACAAATAACGTAGAAGCCGATGGAGGTCTTATTAGAAAGGTAAGCGCCACTAATTTCATGATCGTGGGGCCGCAGCAACAGTACGAATTAATTTATAACAGTGTGATATAGGGAATGGCCCAGCAATAGTAATTATGACAGCTGATAGGCAGCGTTCATACTTCGCGACGCACAGCGGCGATCGCCGCGATCGTCGGACCGTGCGCAGAGCGCGCCCAAATGCTATTATGGACTGCTCGCTTGATAAATAAGGGAATCCAATTTGTGAGACTTTCCTTTTCTCTTATAATGGCTACTAACTGATAAGTTACGACTTTCTGTACATAAATGGATCTGAGTGAGGTAAGCAGTTTTCACATTCTTTTTAGGTCGGGATAAAACCAGCTCCATTTCCTAGGTGAGGCTTCTTTTTGTTTCTTTTGTTTTTATTGTTAATTTTATACGAAGCGCTCTTAAAATTTCTAAACGCTTGAACAGTTCCAACTTCCAAAACATTCATTAGCTTACAGTCGGGTTCGAACAACGAAAAAAAAAAACAAAGAACTCACCCAGGAACCAAAACACTAATCATTTTACGCAATCAACAGGTGAAAACTTATAACCTCATGTATAGCTCGACGATATGAAAAAAACAATAAAACTTACCTCGAATGTGGCTCTCACCGCTTTTGCTCATTTCTATCCTGAATCAAGAAGAAGAATAGAAAACAAATGCCATCAGATGGTTTCTTTTTGTAGTGAAAGCAAGCTTCAGTACATGAGATAAATTGCAGTTAAAGGAAAAAAAGCATGAAAATCGAGTCGATTCTTCCCCTAAAAGCCTTCGGTCCAAGTAATAGCGTTGGAGCGGCCTGTCTGCCATTTACCGACGATCACGGCGATCGCGAGGTTGCTGCGATCGCCACTGCTGTCGCGAAGTATGAACGCTGCACAGAGGCGCAAACGCGTTGCCGCCATCGTTGCTCTTCAAGGCTGTTACAGCTTTCACCATGCCATAATAAAAAGTTTGGCGGCAGGGACACGGGTGACAGGTGATGACATAACAATTATAATATAAAGGCTATCTTCACACCTTTTTTTGAATGTATATTGCTGCCTCTGTTAGTTGCTCAGTTTGCAGTGTGGACATATTCCCTCACTCCTTTACCCATCACGAAGTCGAGAAAACCAATACGTATCATTGCTGCGCTCTTTTAGATGGCAATTATTAGCTCTCAAAGACCTCCATTCGCAGCCAACTGAATCTGACACCGACATTTCGCACATTTTGATTTGTTACACGGATCTTTGTCCCGATTCTTTCAGTGCACCTAGAGTGCAATGAATAAATAAATAAATAGCGATGGATGTCGACCGGGAGGCGAGGGAGGGGGGAAAGCGAATGGTGCATATAGTGTGCCCTGAAACAAAAAAAGGGGTAAAGCGGCGGGGGGAATATTAATAATAAAAAAAATTTAGAAGCGCTCCTTCCTGTGTATCAAATGAAGGCGATGGTCAAATGAAGACGATTTATCAGAAGAGATTGGTCGCAATCAGTTCAACAAGAAGGAGGGGTGTCAATGGTTCAGAGAGAAGATATCGATGGTGAGTTCCATGGGTTCCTCCACGTGAGACAGCTATGACATCAACAAAGCGGAATGGAGATCTCTTATTCAATGCCGCTCACGGCTCCACAGTTGCGCTTTTTTGCAGGTAACACGGCGCTACCTGTTTCTCTGCGTACCTAGCTACTTCAAACTTAAGCTTCTCATATCGCAATGGTCATAATTCGGTGGCATGGCGCACTCGCACTATAGTACACCCTAATGTGTGAAATGTTCGTGAAATGAATGTTCATGAAAATGTTAATCAAATGAGCGAAATGTTTCTTACGAAACTACATGCAACCAGATGACACTTTAGCCCAGTTTATAAAGCACCCACCGCATTGTAGGACTCTCCGGAATCTACAAATTCCATGCAAAAATGCGGAAAGTTTTGTGCACCAGGACTAAGCATGACGTCGTGGAAAGCTGCGGGGTTAGTAAAGGGTTGTCCATACGCCCCCCCCCCTCTTAAAGACTGTGTTTGGAGGCATCTGCTCCGTTTATCAGCTGTATATGTTGAGTGTTATGCGAATTTCACAAACTAAGTGTTTGAGTATCACCAATAAAACAAAAGCACTGAAAATTGAAGGAATTAGTTTCTCAGAAGTAGTGAGTGCGTACAGTGAAACTTCGAAGAACCTCGAAATGACGCCGTCCAAACGAAACATTACGAAGGGACTGAGCACATTGCGGCCGCGTTGCGCACTGAGTTTAGAGCGCTATCAGCTCATGGCATTCAAATAGTATTAGGTTGTCCGGAAAGTTCTCAGCGTTTTGAGTGATTTACTTCAAACGATCATAACTTTCTTAATACTCATCGGATTCAATGGAAACAAGCACTGTTCGAATCAGCATACTTTTGCCAACAACTGGGTGGTCGAGAATCCACGAAATCCACGAAGGCTTTTTTTGCCTGGTCCTGATTGTTGAAGTATTTTCCAGCAAGGAAATTCTGAAAATATTCAAAAAGGTGATAGTCGGTTGGTGGAAGGTCTGGAGAATATGGTGAGTGAGGTAGAACTTCAAACCCCAATTCCTTCAATATATGGATAGTGATTTGTGAAACGTGTGGGCGGGCGCTGTCGTGCAAAAGAATAGGACCATTTCTGTTGACAAGTGCTGGCTGCAACTGAGACGTGCCAATTTCTGCCCTTCACGCAAATTTTGGGGACCACCTGTCGAGTTTTTTCACCTTCCCAATGCGTTTGAGACCATCCGCAACAGTGGATTTGCCAACGCCTAGCTTTTCTACAATCTCTCGAACTGTTTGGGATAGGGCAGTTTCCACAAATGCCTTCAAATCTTCGTCAGGTATTGCTTTGGGTCGACCTCTACGAGGTTCGTCTTCAAGGCTGAAATCTCCAGAAGAAATTTGTCCATTCGTTGTCGCACGGTGCTTTCTCCAACGCTAGTGGGCCCCCACACCTGGTTAATTTTTCGAGCTGTCTCGACTGCGGATTGGCCCAATTTGTAGTTGAAGAACAATATCGTCTGAAGTTGCTTTTTTGACATGCTTGAAAAACTCTTGAAAGAAAGAGGTCAATCAAGCAATGGTGAAACGGCAATCATACCATCAGATAGCGCAAAAAAACTCTCTTCAGGATGCCCTACTGTTACGCAATGGAGAATGAGTTTTTAATCAGCAATGAATGTACAAAAAATAGTAACACAAAACGCTGAGAACTTTCCGGACAACCTAATATTTTTAAGGTACAGCTTCATCCAGAAACCATTTTTCGCAGAGTGGTAAGGAGGATTCAAGTTTTATGTCCACGCTCTATGCGGAGTACGCACAATTTTCACCAAGCTTGCATGACGGCTTCCGGCCAGACAAAAACCCGGAGAACTTTGGGCAAACGCGAGTTCTCCACCTTTCAATGGAAATAACTTCGTTCAGGCATATCCTTGAACGCAGATATAGACGGCATTGGGAACTAGAAGGTTTTCTCTTTTGAATGCGCCTAACAGCTTTGCTTCAGCTCAGTTATAGCAAAAATTCGCCCGTCGCGGAAAATCACAAAAATAACGCGGAGAATTTTTGGTGAACGCAAGTTTTTTGCCTTTCAAACTCCTTAACTTCGATGACACAATTTAGAAACGGAGATCTACACAGCGTTGAGAAGTAAGTGGCTACTATTCCTTATGAACACATCTCTGGTGTAGCCCAACTGCAGCGAAAATTCGTCCGTCGCGGATTTCCATCTGAAAATCAACCTCAGCAGAGCATGGGGATCTCCTCCCCACAAAGCCCACATTTCCATCTAGACAGCTCAATAGGTCCCCGAACACCTCCTTCTCATGTAGTGAACAGGAACTACAGGACAGATGCGTTGATCAACATCTCTATGGAATGCGCCATGTATTCGAATTCCTTTCCGAACGCGCTGCTCATCCTGCAACATGTGTCGCTGTTGTGTTGAGTACCGACCTCTGCAAATACGACCCTCCTCCTTCCAAATAAGGCCCGAATACGACCTCCTGGTACGGAGTCCGCGACGTATTTCAAGAAACTCATTTTAAACAAGCTAGTAGCTCTAGAAGAAAAGCTGCCCACTGAGTCGCAAGCAAACTCTCAGCAGAGCTCCATACTTTACAGTACATTGATAAAGTTCGCAAATGACTCCGAAATCGTCAACGAGAAGGCTTGTAAAATAACGTGGGTGGGGGTTGAGGAAAAATCGAACGAGGAGGCCACCCGCGTCTTCGATCGGGAAGCCATAAAGGAGGCGGTGGAGACATCGGGGGACAACGAGCTCCTCGATGAGTTCAACAGCGGTTACATTGACTTCCATAGGTACCCAAAAGTAAGAGGTGGGGGGCAATCGCAGAGCTCACGCCCCCGTATAATTAAGATCAGTTTGAGAAAACAAGACCTTCCAGATCGCCTCCTTCGCCACATGAAAAGCACGAAGCAGTCCCTTACCAAAAACTTTGTGCACTCTTATGTGCGTCCAGACTACACCAAAGAAGAGATAGAATATGACCGTGTGCTTCGAAAAAGAGCTGGAATTTTAAATAGTCAAGAAGGTAAGCTTCTCTACGTAGTCCGTGATTTAGCCATACACAAGCTCAGATCCCCACGGGACTTGCCATAAAGCAATGCAAGCAAGCGACTTGTACTCCCCAGCAGCCCTCTTGCTGCAGCTCCTCCTCTTACTCCGCCGCCTAGGGATGGGTTTTCCCTTCAAGGACATTCCCCTCCATATCACATAGCCGTGGAAGCCCACTAGGACAAAGAGGGGGTAGATACAAGACGACTAAAAAGGTACCGTACGCAAAACAAAACAAATATCCCTCAAGTTTTTATGCTATTAAACGCTCGCTCTATTGTTAACAAGATCACCGATCTACATTTCCTTATGCACAATGAACTGGAAGGTATATTCATTACTGAATCCTGGACTGTTCATGATGCCATACTCAGTCATGGATCGGCTTACCGCGTCTAAGATGCGATCGACAAGATGACAGAGTAGGAGGTGGAGTAGCTGCACTTATACACTCGCGTGTTTCTCACTACTTTTTAGCTGCGAGAGATTTTCACAGCAATATTCAGACAATAACTCTCCAGATTGATTATGGTAGCTTGAAAGTACTTACCCTTCTTGCATATCGTAGCCCGTCTTGTGATTCCTCTTCCTTCTCAGAATTTATTGAATATCTCAATTCGCTCTACAGTGAATGGACAAACCAGGTTTTAATTCTAGGTGATTTCAATTTTCCCTTGTTAGACTGGCCCAACATAGTTCAGAGAGCGAACACATCTACGCCTGGTTCCTCTTCATTCTTAAAATTTGTTTCCTCTTACAGTCTTAAGCAAATGGTCAAAGAGCCTACTCATGGAGTGAATATACTAGACATTCTGCTGGTTTCGGAGCCGACTATCATCAGAAACCTAAAAGTTCTTCCACCTTTCAGCACATCAGATCATTGTAGTGTTAGTTTCGAAATTGTTGGGAGATCCTTACCCACACTCAGAAAGTCAGTGTTGCGTAAGGCCTACTCGAAAGCTGACTTTGAATGAATTAGTGCATCTCTTGCACGCATTGACTGGATCAGCCTACATCGCGGCTGTGATAGCACAATTGCCTTTTACCTCGAATTTTTAAACATATGTAATGAGCTGATCCAAAAGTATGTACCTAATGTGCGCGTTAAGAATAACCATGAAAGGTATCCGAAACGTATACGATTGCTCAGAGCCAAAGTTGATCATCTTTTCTCTCTCTCACAAAATGTTAATAATGCGGAGTACAAGAAGTTCTCCATGAAGCTAAAAAGAGCTCTCGCTAAGCACCGGGTGTTGATTGAAAAGCAGATTGCCTCCTGTAAGAATTGGAAACGCTTTTTTAGTTACTGTAAGAAGAACCCTAAACTAGCAGAATCAATCCCAAACCTTATCTCACATGGTACTTTGATCAAAGACGATCACATAAAGCTGACTTGTTTGCCAGATATTTCAGGTCAGTCTACAAGAATCCGCAAAATAGTGATGCCACCTTGCCCCCACTCACTTCGACCACCTTGACTGGCCTGTGATGTAAACAACAGTAAATGGGTGTACCGATTTTGAGGAGGCTTCCAGCAGAATGTCTTACATCGCCGGCATTGGCATTCCCTATGTTTTTTCATCAAAAAGCGGCTTGGGACTTACTTCTCGCTGCTAGTCATACTCTTTATAGGAGTACTGCTCTTCATGGGAAGTTCCCAGACTTGTGGAAATTGGATTTTGCGCGCGCACCGTGGTCGCAGAGCGAGGTTTCAAACTACACTACAGGCCAATTTGCCCTGACAGTGATTGTAAGTAATGGGACGCCTTGAATATGTTCGTACTATTGTTAGCTTTCTTATGAAAGCCGGACTTGATGCAAAATGCCAACACCGGTTTCGCCGGCACAGGTCGGACGCGCTACTGCGCTTTGTCCACCGTTCCCCTATGGCAACAAATATGTTGACGAAAGGGCAGTTTCCGTCTCAGCTTGTGTGTTACAATTGACGCCTTAAAGCGATTCGATTCTATTTCTATTTTTTTCTATTTTTTTTGACCCGCGGCCCTGTAAAAAGCTTACCGCTTACGGTATCATGTGGTCAACTTCTCGCTTTTCTCGAGTCCTCTTGTTGGGTCAGCCGGTCTCATCAGTTGTAATTTAATGAGGCCAAATCATTATTCACACCGAGCGGGCGTGCCGCAGGTACATGGTTTAAGCCTCCTTATGTTCCTAGGTTACATAATGATTGTCGAATCTCTTCCTGACGGACATCTGTCAGCAGTACGCAGATGACTCAAAGATCTCTTACCCTAAATGACTGTTTTGAAAATTGCAGAGCTATCAGATGCTATTGCGAACTGGTCTATGCAAATGCAATTGACATCTTCGTCCCAATAAACTGTTGTAGATGGCAACTCGGAAGAAGGAGTAATCCTTCCTACGGTTTTACCGGTCTGAGAAAGCACTAACGATTGTTGGTCGAGTTCGAGCTGGGGGTGTTGTAATATAATGTGAATATATACATAATATAACGGCTTCTGCGAGTATGAGAGCAAACTTCATCTTCAGAGCATTCAGGATTCGAGATCCGGCTGTATTGTTTCGACTTTTCGTTCTTTATGTGCGGCCGCTGTTGGAGTATTGCTCGCCTGAATGGTCGCCTCGAAACAAATCGCTGATCAACGAGATTGAAAAAATTCAGGAAAGTTTCACTTATCGATGTTTTGTTCGCAAAGGTATAAGTACGTTGTCATACGAGCAGCGACTCCGTAAACTCAGCGCAGATTCCGTTGAATTTGGGCGAAAGCTATTTGACTTTGTATTTCTTTACAAAATGACCACGGGTGAAGTCTGTATCAAACTCCAGGATCTTTTTGAAAAGTCCTCCACCATTCGCATGTCAAGGGGTCACCCTTACCGCATACGGCCTCATAGGCCCAAAACGGATGCTTTCAAGGACTCTTTTCTAGTTAGAGTTGTCAATATTTGGAACAGTTTGGACTGCACTTATTTCAGATGGAAATGCGCATCGCATGTTTCAAAATCACCTAGCTCTTCGCCTCGAGCACTAGTTCTGGTATTCCGGATTGCCTCAACTCATCAAGTCCCGTTGTCTTGGACTTGTAGTAATGAGCTGTCTTCTCGTGCGATCTTCTTTTGGTCTTTCAGGCAATTTGCAAATTCTGAGGCTGATTATGGTTATATCAGCTGGTTGTGTTCTTCTGAGACTGATTGTCATCTCAGAGTGACTGTGTTTTTTCCGTCAGACTGATTGTTATACAGCGATGCAGATTGGTCCCCCCCTTCCGGGGCCCCTTCTTTCATCCATGTGTTATATATATTTTTTATATTCTTCCTCTCATGTCTCTTATGTCCTGTTTGCGCCGTATGTCATGTTTTGCGCGTCTATCTTGATTCGAGATATTCTCCCTCCATGACTGACTACGGTGTATTTTGTCTTGGTATCACTCGCATCTTAGCGTCAGCTTTTGTTACGGCCGTTTCTTTTATCATAGCTTTTTTTTAGCCTCTTACGAGTTTGCGAATTTTGTTTTTCTTATTGTGTTATATCCCCCCTCCCCCCTCGATATTCAAGCGGCAATGGGAGCGGGCCGCAACGAGGTTGGCGGACCTACTAAGATGGTATCCGGAGTTCGAATTATGTCCGCCGTCGAACTTACAGTGTTGGGCGGCCACTGTCCTTCTGAGTTGCAAAATCTGCCCCTCTCTGTCGCACCCAAAACCACTTCCCCCCTGCTCTTGATGCAGCTATAGGAATCTGTGTTCCTCTCCTTAGCATATCTTGTTTTTTCACTGTTTATTTTTTACCGATGCTAATAAAGTAAGTAAGTATGCACGATACTGCTGTGCATTTCCTGGCTCACAAATAGTTTCTTTGTAAATGCCGTCGAACATAAGGGAAAAACGAAAAGGTTCAGAAACGAAGCTCGTAACAGAAAAAACCTTTCTTAATCTCTTGGCGCAAATGGGACTACGGTGGTACAACCACTTTTGCACCAATGAAGTTACATTATCGGCGGATGGGCAAAATACACCCCGTACTCAGAAAGAGAAAATTTTTCGGAGGAACAAAGAAAATTCCTTTTTGAAAAGAAACTGTGTTTCAGAAAAACAGAATTTTTTTGGTCGTTCACAAGAAATGGCCTTTCTCCTCAAGATTTCATAGGGAATGACAGTTTTGGCAGCGACATTTATATTATTCGATAGCGAACAGTTTATTCTGGTTGAATTCCCGTAAATAACTGGGACTTGGAAATGAATTCCAGTCGACAATAATGACATTTTTTACACGCTTCTTTCTTCGTTCAATAGAGATGTAAGAACCGCAGAAGCTGTTCGAAAAGGGTGGAGCGTAAAGCCGAGAAGTGCTGCCTTTTAGTAGGACCTAATCTGGTTCAAGCAATACAAAGGTGGGAAGTTCGACCTCGAAAATGTGCATAGCACCAAACTACGTGTTGAGCTCGATGAAGAGCCACGCACAAACTTGTTATTCTACAAGTGACGAGAAGAAAAAAAACAAGTGCGCGCATCTCATAGAGAAGTTTATGGGCGATTCTGGGCAGGGCACGCCAGAAAAGAATCCATTGCAAAGGCTACCTATGAAACCGTAGAAATTGAATCCTGAGCAATTTTCTCACAACAAAATCAAACTCAACAAAACAAAATCAAATTCAAAAAACAAACAATCAAAATAATTCACATCAAATGGATAAGAAAAAAACCCACTGGATTACTGTTGAATTTTGGCTGTTCGCGGTCAGCACGCTCATACAAGCTCACTGGTGCGCGCTATTTTACGGCCTAGAGCCAATTTCAAGCCAAACACGTGTAAAGTACCCCTCATTTGAACACCCATAACTTCGTTGAATGTGAAGCTATCGGAGAGGTGTATGTGGGAATGAGTAGAGCTAGTTGGCTCTTGTCACCTCGCATAGCGCGCACCAATGAGCTTGTATGAGCGCGCTGACCGCGAACAGCCACTGCACCGCGAACAGCCAAATTTCGAAAGTCCGAAGGTTTTTTCTTATCCATTTGATGTGAATTATTTGTGATTGAGCGATTTCAAAAACGTTCGAGTCCAGAGATTCTCCCCGTTGTGATCATCGTTAAAAGTCTGTGATCATTTTCGCGAACCGCGAGTCGCTACGCTTTGGACGTCCAATGGCGCAGCTTCATACACGGCCTTTCGTAAAAAAAAGAATTGTGCCGGAAGCTTGAAGATTTCTACTTTCCAGCAAAGCTTATATTTCTTCCTAGGCCTGCTATTTCGAAAAATCCCCGTTGTGATCATTTCGTGGACCACCCCCCACCACGACACCGAAAAAGTCAGCCCCTCTGTGGCCATAAAACCTCCAGTTGGCTTGAAGACTTTGGTATGCTTCTAAAACACCATGTTTTTCGCAAAGGGTATCAGGAATAGGCCATTGGGCGCCAATTTGGCATCACCTCTGCAATGCGCCATGCATGGGGCTTTCACGCGCTGTTTGGAAGGTGTAACTTCTAGATAGGGGCTTCAATTTCGCAACAAAGTGCTCACAAAATGTGCTCCTGCAATCAGAAAAGTCCGGGAATGTACTTTCGTTCTGTTTATTCATCGTCAGTCTTAATGTCCTTTCCATGGTTTTATAAATTCATGGTGCCCTTTGTGGGGCGGGATCGTAGCTCCTATCATTCACCCGCTTCCTCGTACGTAGTGTCAGCATATGCTTACACCAGCGCCAGAGTGCTGGACGTGCTTGGCGACGTGCGTAGGTTACTCGACCTCCCCCCCCCGCTCGACAAGCGCAAAATTTTTAAACCAGAAATTTTTTGGCGAAAAATAGACAAAGTGGTAGGAGGTGTGGAAAAGTTCTAATGAAGAGGTAACATGGGGAGGGGGGTCGTACTTGAGATAGAATTAGGGGGGCTCGTATTTTTCAGGAAATGATCACAACGCAATGGCGTGCCCTGATTCTGGGTCCATTTCCTATTTCTCACAAGTAGGGGAGGTGCAAGGATCTACCCAGGTTTCTGGATTAAAGACACATGGTACGCTCAAACACATTGTGGGTGTATGAGACTATCAGCCCCCCAGCTGTCGATGTGTCGTGGTCCCCCCGCCTAAAACTGCACGGGGTCAGAGTACGGGGCCGTGGGGTGGGAAAGTGTAATTCCATCCTATGCCGCCCGTTTCGCAAACTCACGTTTTTACTAACACCGTCCGCGCGGCGCGGTGCATGCAGCTCTCTTGGCTTTTTGCCAAGTCCTGTAATTGCGCTTTGAAACACAAGTACAACACAATTTCTTTATGCAGATAACATTTTAGGTGCTGCAAAATAAGAACCGAAGATGATGACGAGGGCTAGAACTCAAAAGAAACTGTGCTGCTTCTGCAACAGCCCTCGCAGGCCGCGCATTC